ATTTGTATTTAGTTAACAAATAAAGCGCGTTGGTTGAGTGGTAGTGGAGTGTATGCTATGACTTACAGGACCTGGGTTCGAATCCCAGGTCCCCCCATGCATTTTTTATAATTTTTCTTCAGGTGATTCAGTACAAAACCAGGCGCGTGATGCATCATACTCCCTCACTCAATCACTAGCCAGATCTGGTGGTCTAGAATGAAACCCTATGGTGGGATCTAGTCAACCAATGCATAGGGAATTAGGGAAGCTCAACACAGGCTTGCACAAATGGGCCATCAAATTGCTATCAAAACCTCCAAAAATCAGGCCCAAACACTCTCTTTCATATTTATTTTTATTCTTGTTTTTTTATTTAATTATTCTCAATTTTTTTTTTAACTAACCAATTAAATCTTTTTCTTCATTAAAATTAAAAACCAAAAAAATATCTTCTTTATTTAAATTAATTTTCAGTATTTTATTTTGTTAATAAATATTAATTTAATTGATTTAGTTTTAATTAGGAATAACTTTTAATATATTTTGCAATAATTAAAATTAATTTAGACAAATAGGTTTTATTAACATTGATCAAACTTATTTTTATTTCTTTAAATATCAAAAATCCAAAAATATTACTTTTATTAAGTAATTAATTAGCTTATTAATTTAATAATTAACTTAAATCTAATTTCTTCTTAATTCAAAATAACCAAAAAATCTTTCTTTAATAACTAAAGGGTCAAAACTCTAGAACTCGCCCGATTTAATTTCTCGCACGCGATCCATATTTATTCAATATTGTATATGTTTCCTGGGATGTAATAGTTTAAATAGGACGTTACTATTTTATCGCTTTATTTATTTTTCGCATTTTAATTTCAAGGGTTGCTTTTGGCGATGTAAATACCCGACGCCTTGTAATAGTTAGTTTAGTTTCCGCAATTTAATTTCCGCAACTTATAAACTGTTAAATGTTTGATAATAGGGAATGCATGACAAGATCAAACGTTTAAACCTAAAATCAACATTAGATCACCATTGACATGTACAAAGACAAAATTAACTGAAAACAACACACTCGCACATGCGCACTCTTAGGGTACACCCTCACTTGGATGCCTTCGAACGTGGTCATTAAGTATAGGAAGTTTTAGAGATCTCCCTCTTGTCCAAAGATCATAGTTTCCTCGAAACGGTTGCCTCGGAAAAATGATCTAAGACATTAGGGTTACCGCTAAGGCATCCTAACATTACTTTAGTGACCGCACGTCCCTTAAATCGAATTGACCCTTAAAACTCCAACGACGATGCTACCTACTCATCAATAGTAGGATAGCATTATCTAAAGGACATTAGTACAGATTGATCCCTTTTTCGAGTAGGTAGATGGTTCTTAAGTACTTGCTCTCTCAAAACAAAACAAAACTTTTCGCACTTACACCTTTCAAACAAAAACTTCTTTCAAACCCACAGACACAAAGAAAAGCAATTTTGAAAACACTTTGAGCAAGTACCTAAGAGCCCGTGGATAACCACAGATAGAAAGGGTGCTAACACCTTCCCTTTCTATAATCTACCCCCCGGACCCGAGAAACATATCGAAAAAGGAATTTTTCTGTGCTTTTTTTCCTTTCCTTGTTGGATAAAATAAAAGACGGTAGCGACTCTTTCTTACCGCGACATTTTGCGAAAACAAACGTAAAACGCAAACCAGCATTCCAAAAAATAGTCAGTTCTCTCCCACCGTATCACACTATCATTCTAAGAAAATTCCTCGCAACCACGTACAATTTGAGTTATATCGTGTATTTGTGTCAAACCCGTGTTCATGATGATTATTTTCTTGAGGAAAAGCAAAGGTTCAAGTGCAGGGGAGTTTGATAATGTGAAATTTCATTGTATTTTCGACTTGACTCGCATGAATTATTCTACCGTTTTCAGTCATTGATGTCATTTTATGCTGGTAGTGTTACTGTATTTCAGGTGTTTTTACTCCAAGAAGCTTGCATGAGAAAATAAGAGGAATTGGAAAATAAAAAGCAAGAAAACATGAAGTAATAGAAGAAATAAAGAAAATCTGCACACAAAAGGTTGTGGCCCTCTCCACACCTTCTATGGCCCTCGCCGCGCATGTTAAGACTGTGGCACTCGCCACGCTTCCTCTAGCCACCGCCACAGACTGTTTTATAACAGAACCACGTTCCTTTCCACCTCAGAGCCACGAGTCCATCACTTATCTTATTTTATCTCTACAAGACCAAGCATGACGAAAATATCTCCACGAACAAATTTATTCCGGATTTTTCTGGAGGGAGTTACGTGACTCGAGCATTCTATAAAAAGGGCGAGGATTGACAGTTACAGGGACGAAGAATTTCCATTGTTCATAGCACTTTCCCAGTTTTGACGTTGTGCAAAACATCTAATGATGAAGTTGTACTCATAGTAGTTATTTCTTTATTTCACTATTGGCATTTTTTACTAGCATTGCTTCCCTATTGAAATTTTTAATATAAGATCGCAGTGTCTCATATTTCTCTTTCCTAATAGATCCCAAGCTTTCAATCGATTTGGGTTGCCTTCAAGATGTTATAAAATACGCAAAACAGTGTATGCAAAGTTCACACCACAATTGATAGACTCATTTCTCAACCTTCTTAACTAGGCCATGGCTCCTACCTCTAGGGTGAGGATGAATAACTTTTATTTATCAAGTCCTCTTTCTCCATGAAAAATCAAAAGGACGTTAATCAATTGCATGTGTTAATTGGAGCCAATTATCTTTTCATAGGTCCCTGTTCCCAAAAATGCTTATGAGTTTCCTTCGGATGGTGGGGGGAGGGGGTACTCATTGATCATTCTAATGAAGGAACTTTGGAAATTAATTTATTTCTCTTCTTCAAAATTATTAGAGGATGAGGAGTGGGTGGTTCTTCAACGATAGTGACCCTAAGCCCTCTATCGATCATCTTCCCACCTGAAACATAACAGGGAGTTTCCTCGGATAAATGCGTCTTGTTTATATGTCTTTAGTAACCTCTCGTCTTGTAGTGTCGAGGTGAATCATGTATATAATTAGTAACTACATCGTTTTGAAACCTTGGAGTTGGAAACAATAGTGCTTCCGGCTTTAGAACTCCTTGAGTTGTTCGCGCTATAACTTCAAAATCGCAAATTATTTGTTAATCGCCATTAGTAAGTATTTTAGTACAATGTTTCTTTTGTCATTTTCTACTTGACCTTCCAATAGTAGGTTGCAAGCTGCTTTGTTTCCTTCTTGAGGCTGATCCAAGTTAGCGACCACCAACATGTGTAGCTCATTGTTTAAAAGAGGTAGTGCAAAAGCCTAGCGGTCAAGGGTCATTTGATCAAGTTTTGTGGGTCAGATGATGAATTAGTGAGGCTTTCTTCCCGATTTGGGTTCCTCTTTACGACTTCACTTATCACAGATCGAGGACGATTTGAATTATGGGTTGCTTTTTTCCCCAGTTTTCCATTTCTTAATGTTTGAGAAAGTAGTTTGAACATTATTTTTCAATGTTACACACGATGTCAATGTTCCTTCTAGTGAGAAAACTTCTTCTTGAAGAAGAATATGGTCAAGTTTTGGCCATCTCAATTATAAATATCTTTCACATCTTAAATATTTGGTTGATTTAATGAGAGGTAATACTTACAAGTATTCTGAAGACCAAGTTAATGACTATCAGATGATATATATATATATATATATATATATATATATATATATATATATATATATATATATATATATATATATATATATATATATATATATATATGGAATGTTTCTATGTATCTTGATTTGAAGGCTATAGTCCTTTAAATAGGGTTCTTATTAGGTTTCTGAAGACTCATAACCCTAGCTTCAATCATAGTCTCCTGAGCAGAGAATTGTATGTATTCAATTTATTATATCATCTAACGATCCTTCTTTGATTGCTTGTCTGGATCAAATGCTTTCTAGGATAGGTATATGCGTACTCGACATGTCGTAGAACCTTCTATTCGACAACAGATTTTGAGACAAATATTTAGTCAGAAGACATCGTCATAATGTCAGTCCATCATAAATATCTTTATTTTTTCACCTCCATAATTATATTAAGTCCATTCACATGGTGACAACATTTTTATTTATGACTAAATCGTCTAGTGTTAGCATCAAATTTATTTATATTATTATCAAGACATAATTACTCTTTTTGCGACATAGCTTTCCACTTGTTAGTATGCTTTCCTAATCTTGACACTAATTATTCTTTAACTTACTAAATTGAAAACATTAGAGACAATTAAGGCCACCTCTTTGCATATCATTGACACCATATACAAGTTATTGTCCCAATAATATGTACCATTAATTTCCCAAATTTAGTTAAATAGATGTAAAAGTGAAAACTACCCTTCAACATATAGTGATCGTGACAATCCTTATCACATTCTTAGGCTTTCATACATGTGCCAAAGTTTCCAAATTTCAATGTTTCACAATCACACGCTTTGCCATGTTTTAATGTGAAAATCATTCTTATTCACCAAGAAATAAATAACACATTTTCATACACATAATGCTTTTTAAATTTGGTGTCCTAAGTCCAAGCATAGCCATCAACAAGTACTTCTACTCGAATATTAAATTTATTTATTTATCTTTTTAATTTTAATTTTCAAACGTTGACATTGAAATTTCAATAGTCTTTTTTGCACATCAATTCTATATTGTTTAACTTTCACACTCTTCATCTCAAACTGAAAAGCCTTACATTTTTCATTATTCTTCATGCAATTGCAAACCAATTATGAAACCACTTTCTTTTTAGTTTCTTCACATTGAGAAATTTTTCTCAAAAAGAAAAAACAAAACAAAAACTCCAACATCTTCCTTAAACCTTTTCCTACATATACAACAATCAACCTTATCAAAACCCTGCAGAATCAAACATCCTTATTCTTTCCAAATGACTATTTCGCTTTCTCAATATTCTAAATCAATGCATCTTTCATGCAAATCATTCTCTTTGATTCTTCTCTTTGTTTACTTGCTTTTTGTTGGTTCTTGCACTTCTACAAGGATAGGATTTACAACTATGAAGATGAAGATGAAGATGAATGACCAACCACTTCGGCGAAAGCATAACTTGGGTTTGGTTTTCAACTTCTTCCCGAAAGGAATGCGAATACCGCCTTCAGGTCCTTCAATGAGGCATAACTCAGAGGTGGATTCAACAACTAAGAATTGACTTCAATAGTTTCTTCATTTTTCTATCACCTTTTTCTTCAATTTTTAGGATTTCAATGTTTGCAATTTGACACTAAGCCTAAGAAGATTTAGATCCTTTAGATCTTAATTTTCTTTTTTGGCTCTATGATTCTAAAATTATATTGTATATAAAGCATATAGTAATAACATATTTAGTGCATTTAATTTTCTCTATATGAGAGGTTTTGTTATCTTATTATATACTATAGGATTAGTTTTTCTTTCTGAATTTGATGATGAACAATATAGGCGTGTTTGACAAATTTCTTAAAGTCGTTATTGATATCTCTTTCTCTTATGTCTAGTATGTTGTAACATTGACTTATTGATGAGTGAACACAAATAAAAAAGCCATTTTTTGGATCTTGTCTCATAACTGTGGCATAAAAAGGCAATAATGGAGTGCTCAATCACAAAGTTTTCCAAGTTGTACTCACTTGTGATTTATGAAATCTTTGTTTTCTTCAAAACCATCTAGTTGTCTAACGATACAAGCTATAGCTATGGTCAAAATCTGAATGCATATTCATTAATTATTGCCAACTTGTGTTTGGAACTATATACAAATTTCAATGTATGTAAATCCCTCAAAGTAGGGGAATTATTAGAATAATTGTTTGAAATTTTATGTCAATTTCAATGTATTTAAATCCCTCAAAGCAAGGGAATTATTAGAATAAAGTTCATATAATCTACAGTATGTTGCACAAAGTTTATTCTTAAAACTAATCAAATTTCAATTTTGTCTTGTAATAAGATATTTGTCACATTAACTACTATATGTTAGGGAAATTTAGGTGTCTAGGTGCATTTATTAATGAAAAATATATTGAATTAAATAGTGTCTATGATGATTCTTTTTGCAACAGAAGTCTTAAAAATTGACTAAATAAAAAATTCAAAGGACGCAAGTATGTTTTCAGATAAAAACGCTGTGCCTTCATTAGGTCTAGTACAATGGTAGAACATATCTTCGTTACAAAGATATGCTTGCAAAATTTATGCTGACTTTAAGTGCTTAGACAGCATGCTATATTGAAAAACTATGTAGTACAATGTACAAATCGTCAATGCATGGCAATATTATAAACGTTTCACTTTTTCAATCCAGGATACTTTATGATCTAATTGTACGGTCATCAATATCATTGAAACCTTTTGTTAATAATAATTAGGTTTTTATATTCTAGTCGCGGAATTTTTTTTTGCAATAATTAGGTATTAAAAAAAATTTCGCAAATAATCATATTTGAGATGATTCTCCAAAGGAGGAGCCATCTCACTTGACGCCTCCACCAGCATTTTTGTCCTAGGCGTCATCTCACTTGGCGCCTCCTCTCTCTTTTAGCCAAGTGAGATGGCGCATGCTCTTTAAAAGTGAGAGGAGGCGCCATCTCACTTGGCTCCTAGGGCAAAATGCTGTTTTTATAAATAATTCGTCCGTTTCTCCGTCATTTCTCACATTTTCTCGCATTGTTTTCTTATTTTTTACTCTGTTATATGCGTCATGACATCACCCATGATTTTTACCAGAGATGGTTACGTTATCTTCTCCGCCACGAAACCTACGATGAAAATGAAATTCTGGCACATTCACTCCATGGAGCGTCTGAAGCGGGAGTTGATGTGATGGCTAGATGGAGACATTGTGGAGGGGGGAAATTCGAAGGATCCAGCGAAGACGAACAACAACCTCACATGCGACTGGAAGACCTAATGTGTGGTTAGAGGAAGCCAAAACAGACAGCGACGTAATGTTGATGATGCATGGGTCAGATGAAATTGTTTTAACAGTTGTAATTTCGTAGACGGAATATCGTGTTTTATTTCTTGTACGCACAATATTTATTGTAGCAAATACTATTAACGAAAAACCCTAATGTTTACAACAAAATAAAGGAAAGATTTTATGTATTACAATTTTTATGTGGTCGAGGAAGACGCCCGATTCGGACAATTTTTGCGATTATGTCCGACCTGACGGCATAAACCACACTTTCTTTCCAGCTTGTCAAGGTCGTCCATTTCGGTTGTGATGCGCTTACTTTTGGGACGACCCTTCTTGTTCCTTCGCATTTGGTCATTGTGCCACACTATTTCGCCGTCGTATGCAGGCCAATAATCTGGTTTTTCTACCAAAGGAAAACTGTTGTTGTAAACGTTGAGCAACGTTGTAAATGTGTGACAGAAGTTGTAGCGCGTCTTGATGGGTATAAGCACAAGCGACAATGACATGAGCGTAAGACATACGAAAGGCTTGAAACTTGCCACAATCGCACCAACGAGAAGGTAGTATAACTTTATATTCTTGTCTTGGCAGGCCTTCGTTGTGGTCGATTGTCTCTTTCACAATGAAGTTGTGATTGTGTCAGTCAAACCGTATAACCATATGAGTGTTGACTTTGGCACTTTCTGCCTTAATGTACTTCATGCAACTTTCACTCCATAGTTGTCCAGATTGCAACACTGCATTCCACATTTCACCTCTTTTGGCAAACAACGAAGCCATCCTAAAATACATAGATTTTACCAAAGCATTGATCGGGAGGTTTCGTATGCCTTTGAATACCCCATTCATCGATTCAATAAGATTTGTTGTCATGTGCCCCCATCTTTGGCCATTGTCATATGACCTAGTCCATTTTTCCACCGGAATATTGTCGATCCACCTGCCGGCTTCCGGATTTGACAAACGGATCTCGTTGCGGTAATATTTGAACGTGGGTTATGTCAATGCATATCCCAAATTCATAACCGCTTTCCTTAGTGTTTTGTCCTTGATCTCCCTCGTGAAATTTTGGACGATATGCCTAACGCAATAGACATGCGTAGAAGGATGGTCATGCCAACCGTTTACAGGATTATTGTAGGCACTTTCAATGGAGACATGTATGTCCGAGATCAAACAGAGATCTGGTTGAGGAGCCACATGTGTTCGCAGGTTTTTCAGAAAAAAGCTCCAAGCACCACCGGTCTCCCCCTCGACTAGGGCAAAGGCAATTGGGAAAATGTTGTTGTTTCCATCTTGTGCAACTGCCATCAGTAGCGTGCCTTTGTATTTCCCATACAACCAAGTCCCATCAATTTATGTAATTGGTTTGCATGATGCAAACCCTGTGATGCAAGGTTGAAATGCCCAAAACACTTGACTGAATATTTCGTTTCCGTTTAGTTGACTACCATCTTGGGCGTATGCTGGCACTGTTTCCAGAACGTAAATAGTACCCGGAGAATAAGTCTTGAGTGCATTCAAGTAGCGAGGAAGTTCTTGGTATGACTCCTCCCAGTTTCCGTACACCTTTTCAATCGCCTTGGTCTTTGCTAACCACGCCTTACGGTAAGACGGAGTATAGTTAAAAACCATGGTGATGTTGGAGATGATGGTTTTCACCTTCAAAGATGGGCCGTTGCTGACGAGTGGTAGGATTTCTTGACAAATGAGATCGTAATTAAGTTTTCGATGGTCCTGTGATTGGGTAGAACTGACACAAGTGTGGGTAGATATGGAACCTATGACCCAGCAATCACCTCTTAATTTTTATGATGCAGTGAGCTTGAACATACAATCAGGGTGGACACACTTGATCTTGTACCTTTCTGGGTTGACACGGTACACCTTAAAATCGACCGAGTTAAGCATGTGGAATTTTTTTATGGCTCTGATGCATTCCTCTCTGTTACGAAACTTGTCCTTCTCTTTTAAGTTTTCATCCAACTGCATATACGGATTGAAAAATAAATCAGAAGACGGTTCATCTCCGCCCATGTTGAAGTTTGTCATGTGCGGAGGTGGTGTGTAGATCTCGTTTGCAGGAATACCAGGTATCCCATCATATTCGAAATCATCATTTACCATTTCATCAAATTCTAACTCGTCATCTTCTTCTTCTTCATCAACTGCATCTACCTCTGCTTGTTCAGTCTCCAAAGGATCAACCACTTGTGTCACCTGAGGCTCTCGCAGCATAATGTACAACTCAATAGAGTCGTACCCAGAATACACATGACTAGAAAACATATTCCGAAGATCCTTGTCATCTTGAACCTCAACCTTATAAAATATTATTTGGTTGTTACAAAAAAAACTGGATTCTGACAAAATATTTGTGTCACCGGGCCTCGTCCAAGTTTGGCCTCCAATCGTTTTTTAAAGTGGGAGAAATTGGCTTTCCCGTTTAAAAGAAATCAGATGTTGTATGTGTCTCTAAACAAAAACCCAGAGGTGGGACAAATGTATGTCTCACCGTTGAAATGTGCATTGATGACATATTGGGGGTGCAGAGGCCATTGTGTATGGTTGTTTGAAGGTTTGAAGGTTGGAATGTTTGAAGTTTATGAGTTATTCGAAGGTTTGTATGTTTGATTGTTTGAAGGTTTGATTGTATGAAGGTTTGAAGGTTGGAAGGTTTGACAGATTAGGTGAATCAATATTTTGATAAATGTAAGACTAAATAGGTCATACTTAATTTGAATTAAGTAAGGTTGTAACCTCCAAGGCTGCCACCTAGCCTGCGCCTACTCTGCACCTACACTGTAACATGTAAGTCTCCTCCCATCACCTCCAATAGTGTTACATGCATGCAGGCATGGCTTCTCCAAGACTGTCATCTAGCCTGCGCCTACTCTGCAACCCGTGCCACCTCTTATTCGCCAATGGGGATGGCGACACCTTTCATTTTTGTACTCTTTCGTCAAGTCCAATGGCGCCTCCATTAATGTCCAATCGTGTTACATGCATGCAGAGATGCCACCTCCAAGACTGCCACCTAGCCTACGCCTACTCTACACCTACACTGTAACATGTAAGTATCCTCCCATCACCTCCAATATTGTTACATGCATGCAGGCATGGCTTCTCCAAGGTTGTCACCTAGCCAGCGGCTACTCTGCACCTACACTGTAACATGTAAGTCTTCTCCCATCACCTCCAATAGTGTTACATGCATTCAGGCATGGCTTCTACATGGCTGTCACCTTGCC